TGAATCTGCATAATTTTTGTTTACTTATACTTAAGTATTATATTTAATATTCTTAAATATACAAATGTAAAATAGTTTTTGATCGCTTGAGGCTAAAAAGAATTTCTATAACATGTTTCCTAATAAACATTTTTGAAAATTTTTATCTTTTTAAATTTTTAGAAATCCGAAAACTAACTTAGTGGCTAACACATTAGATAAATTAAAAAATAAAAATTCAAATCCGAATAATTTTATTTTTGTAAACCAGTGTTATCGCATTTTAAGGAGTGTAAGAAAATATTCAATTCTTACTCTCGAATGAGAGTAAGAATTGAATATTTTCCTTGTCACATTATAGATAAAAACATTTATAGATATAAACATTTTCTTTTCAAAAATAACAATAAATTTCCAATCAAAGACACCTCCCTACTTCCAAGTTACGAATTCCAGAGCTAAATAGCGTTTCAGGCTGCTTTTGAATTGCGGGCTGCTGATCTGAATATCGTAGGATAATCCTACTTAATCAGAACTTTCTTAGTGTTATCATCTATTTTTGCAATCTATTTAAAATAATTGTTAAAATTACTTTCACTCATATATATAAATATATTTCAAAGATGCAGTCTTACATTTAGGTTGAACAATGTATGCAGTCTTTGAAATAAAACAAAAAATATTTAAAACAAGCATTTTTTCATGACGTGGAATTTACTGTTAGCTTACTGCATTCGGGAAGCTTTGCACTTTCAGAAATATAAGGTGCCTAAAATTCAAAATTTACAAATCTCGAGAGGCGATAACTTGGGAGGGGGTTGAGGTGAAAAGTTTTCTTCTAACGAAATAAATTATTTATTAATATGTAAAAGCTACTAAAATTTCAGTTTACTACAATCTGAGATCTAGAAGGAAAACGATATCAAAAATTAAAAAAAAGGGGTTTTAGTAAATTTTTGAAACGGACTTTTTTCAAGATTTGTTTTGGAAAAGGACTAAAAACTCATGCTTCGCAAGACAAGAAAATATCACAGTCTCTATTTTAAAATGCACACTGAAATATAAAACTTTGTATAGATTATTCTTATTTTTTAAGCATATTATTATGAGACTTTTTGTTGTTATATTTTTAATATTCCGAAACAAAGTGAGTCTGGCTACTACAAAGCATTAAGCAAGACTATATTTATCAAATTTTACTGGAAACTCTTTTATAGTAAATTTTGACCAAGCTTTATTTTTTTGACTTCTTAAAAAATATTAACGCCATTTCTCTTTCTTCGTTTTGGGTATCATACCACAGCATATAACTTAGCTTAGCTTTGGACACGTGGGCGTGAAGGGAATCGAGGCGGCCGACGTGTTGGCGAGAAGGGGCAAGCACACCCCTTCTTTGGCCGGAGCCGTTCTAGCGAATCGAACCACATACGATTCGAGGAGAGTTAAGGAAAGAAAATGAGAGGCGACGTTCGGAGCGCTGAGGGGGTCTCCAAGACTTCGATAGACTAAGGAGTTTCTGAGAAATTACGAGTAGAAGGCTGGACTAAGGATCTCTTTAGAAGGCTTGGCCAAGAAAGTGAAGGTATTTGTAGGTTTTGCGGGCAGAATGAGGAGATTTCGGTGCAACTTCTTGCTCGAATTCATCAGGAGGGTGGGTCTCGAGGGCACAATAGATCTATTTTTGCTGGTCGCGGTGTACTGTTTTAACTTCTTTGCAATCTACAATCTAGTTAAGCTTTATCATAGTCCGGTATATTTCTTACAAATAAATGCATATGAGTACTGTAATCAGGTCATATAGCAAAAAGTACACACTCATTCTATAATATATAAATTTTTAATTTCAAAATTAACTTAATACTACTGTAGTATTTGAATTTTAATTGTAAATTTTTTCAAAAAAGCAAAAACTTTAGATAAACAATATCATTGTTACCATAATCTGTTCACTTAAATTTTGACTAGTTACGAAAGTATTGAAATATTAATTTATTTTCAACTTTTTACTAAAAGTATAAAATCAATTGCGCGACGAAACATATGAATAATCTAGTAGCTAAATACATTATACTGCATAGAACAATAATTGTTTAAGTGTAAAATATGCCAACCATACAATTAAAATTTAAGTAAATAAGTATATTTCATGTGGAAGATATTTAATTCATGAAATTATTTGAAATTTAAGAAATTTGCATACCTTCAAAATGTATTGCACAACATTTTGAGCCACGATGTCAACGAAGCTAAAAAAATTTATTTCAAATTTTTTACTTTTTTAGCTGTTATTAAAATTATTTTTTATATAAAATAGTTTTAAAATATATGTTGTATATATGTTCATATATATAAATAAAATGTTTGTTTTACTTGTTGGTAGCGGAGATCGATATCAGAGTAAGTTTACACAGCTCGTTACGGCTGTGTTGTTATTTTACACACATTGAGTGCAAATGGTATTTATATATTTGAGTAGACAATAATAATTATAGTAATAATTGTTAAAATTTCCTTTAAATAATAAATTAAATAACTAAACTTATAAAATACTAATTTGATAGAAGAGTTTAAAAAGTTGCAAACTTAGTTTCTTTTAGTTTTATTACCAAAAAAATACTAAAATCTGTCAAATCAGCTTAAAACAACGAAAATTTGTCAATTAGTAGTTGACTCTAGAACGCTGTTAATGCTGCAATATATATGTATTTATATACATAAATATGTGTATAAACATATACTTAAAAAGATACTGGTATAGGTTATAATATTACTCTACAAATTTTTAAAACTTCTTTGTATGCATCTGTATCTTTCCATTCTCGTTTTTTGTAAAAAATGTGCATGGGTTAGTGAAAACTCTTAGATACTTTTAATAAAGAGCGTAAAAAGTCACCAACACACAGAAAACTGCAATGATACCTCAGCAAATATGTTGTGTGTAGGTAGATCAAATTTTCTTTAGTTAAATAATATAAAACATGATTTTGAAGAATAAAAATTGTGATTTTTACTATTGTCAATACCAACTTATCTATTGTAGACGTACTGAACATGAAACACAAAGTTAAAAGATGACTTTGTAAATTATTTCTTGCGTTACTATAAAAGAGGCAAACGATATTAAAAAAAACATTATTTTATATAACTATTATATTCAGTTACTAAACGCCACCTCCTGATTGGGAAAAGACTAAGAGATTTTCCGAAATTATTTCACGAATATGTACTCAGTACGATTAATCATGAAAATATTTCCCATAATCACTTTTTTGGATCTATGAAATGTATAATGTGCTTATTTTTTTATAGAAGCTTTTCAGTTTCTTCCAACTAAATAAAGCAATAACTCACAAATATGAGATTACGTAAAGAACTATTCATTTTTACAGATTAGTTCTGTGAATGTATAATATGTTATATGTAGTTATATTACATTTTTATACCTCATGTTTATTCAAAATAATATATTTTAAATTAATATTGTCTCTGAATTCGATTTTGGAAAATTTCTGGAACCTAAATTAAACTGTATTCAAAGGCTAATTAGTCTTACTACATATAGACTAATTATCGACACAACATCTTTACCAAAGATGTCAATGACCAATGTTTTTGTATAATTTAAAGTAACACTCCTCTTCTTTATTAAAAATTTCGATTAAACTTATATGATTTTAAATTTTTGAATAAAAGTGTTTTCTCTGTCTTTTATATTTTGCATGCATTTGTTCGTGATGCAATTACTTATTTTTTAGATGTTTCTCGACACTGAATTTTTGTGATTTTATAGTATTTTTATAGTAGTTATGTGCGTTTAAAAATTAGTTTTATAAGTTAGGCGATTTAATTTCTGTTACAAGTATTACGTACAAGTTTTCCGGTGAGTTAAAATCTAACTGTTCGATATTTTTGAAATTCACTGTGAATATATTCGGGTGTATTTTGTACAAATGTGTATTCATTTAATATAAACATACATTTCATTATAAACTTATGCAAAGGCATTTATTTATTAAATGAGTTTAATATATGTTTGTGTTTGCAGAGAGTTATGTTCATTATAATGTATATTAATGTCTTAATATGTGTGCTTTAATTGTTGCTTTAAAAATTCTGGAAAATATAGATTGGTGAGCTAAGTTTAGATTGATCAGATTTTTGTTGATCCTTTAGCTTGAAGCATCTAACTGAAAGCAAAGAGAAAAAGTAAACACGAATTTATCCCGCGAATAATAATTTATATATATTTTTTTTCTTGAATAAAATGAATATTTTCTACAAAATTTTTTTGACTTAAATTTTTTTTTAAATAAAAATATTTAAAAATTTTTATTTTTTATTTTAATGTTCATAATAAAATATTGAAACAAAATAATTCACATAAGTGTATGTAGAATTTCTAGTTAAATCGAAAAAAAATATACAAATAATATTACAAGTTTTTAAAATGTATTTAAAGTTTCTTGAAGAGATTTTTTAAAAAGTGTTGAATGAAATTTTGGAAATTTTGGTAATATCGTCGTCAATATAATTATTCATAAAAGTAAAAAATAAAAATTAATATTATACAAAAAGTTCCAGCAAAACAAATTTTTTAATAAAAATATTGGAAAATGATTAGCAAAAAAAATTACAAAATAAAATAAGTTTTTATTATTTAAACGTGAACGTGTAATATATCTGTGTGCACATACACAAATTTAATTGAAATAAAAGATACCTACACATGTTGTACATTAGTTTGTGAATGTATGTATGTATATATAAGTAGATTTAAAAAAAATATAATAATAAGTTTTACAATATTATTATGGTATTTTGAAACAGTGAAAGAAAATGGAAATATTGAAAATTGCCAATTTTTTCTTCAAATTATTTAAAAAGAAATAAAATCGAAATTATTGTAAGTGATTTTAAGAAAAGAAATTAAAATTTCTTAAAATTATTTGTGTAAATTAATATTTTCTTATTAAAGGGAATTATAAAATTTTAATATAATAGTGTTCAATAAAATATATTCATTTAATATTTATGTATAGAATAAACATTATAAAATTGATAAAAAAAAGTATTGAAGAGTAAAAAAAGCTGCAAAAATGGTTGTTCCAGCAATGATGGACACTCTGCCAAGAGTTCCAGACGCACATGGGGATACAGTAGACGAGAAACTCTTTTCGGATTTATATATAAGAACCAGTTGGGTTGACGCAAATATTGCACTTGATCAGATAGACAAGGTGGGTGGTCTCTGAAATATACCAATAAAAAAAATGTGTATATACAATACCTATGTATGTATATATACATACATCAAGGCATATAATAGTAGGAAGAAAAAGAAAAATTATAAATAAAACACTGAAAAAAAAGAAAAAAATTTAAAATTTAAATTTTATTTTAAACAAAAATTTTTCTTATTCTTTTTGTCACGTTTTTCTTTGAAATTTATGTACTTTTAATTTTTTTGTTCTTTCAATATTATGTACTTAAAAATATAATGTGCGTATTAAGAAAGATATATACATACATATATTATATATGCATATACGTAAATTCCGTTTGCATATACATATCTATATACTCCAAAAAAATATATACATGTATATATGTGCAAGCATAGTTACTAACAACAATTAAATAATTAAGATACACACTGAATTTGTTGAATGGAATGTGAGATCTCTTGATATTCACTTTTCATTAATTTGAGAACAAAAAATACTTATGTATGTATGTATAACGAAAATTTCAGTTAGTTTTAATTTTTTTTTTATGTATATATGTACATATGTATGTAAGTAGGTGAACAGGAAAATTTTAGCAATCCAAAAAAATGTTGTATAAAAATAATTTTGTGGTTTAATGGCAATAATGCGAATTTTAGATAAAAATGCGTGAAAAATACCATCTTTATTTGAACCTACATATATAATAATTTATAAATTTAGAAAAATTAACAAAAGTAGGTATGGTGTGTACCCACACTTTTTTAATTTTTGGAAAATTTGATAATTTTTCAATGCGGAACGCAATAACATATCAAACAAAACATAAATATTATAAATTGTCAAATTTTTGATTTTCAAGGGTATAAATTTTGCATTTCTATAACAAAATTTTGTACATACAGTTTACCTCGGATAATTTCACCACGCTTCTTTAATTTTCACCTTTTATTGAACAAATAAGTGAAACAAATATCTATCACTATTAATATCAACATATCTTTCATCGTTTAACTGCATTCTCTTTAACTGAAAAACTTATTTTTTGAAATTTTTACAAAAATACATATGTATATGAAAAATTTCTATCTTCAGTGATTTGACAAAAAAATTATTGATTTACGTGATTATGTATATTGTTATATTAAACGGGCTTTTATAATTGTTTAAGTGGTTTTAGGTGGCTTAATCACTTAATTGAATTAAAATTATGCATTTATCTCGGCGCAATTAACCGTTCTTAGTGATATTTCTAAAAATTTAATTAGAATTAAGTAATTGATATTTCTAAAAATTATTAGAAATGTTTAGGTACATATTTATAATATTGTAACTAAATTTATTATTGTGGTTACTAAACTAGTTACTATTTTCCTAGTAACTATAGTTTAGTACATATTACATACGTAATATCCAGACAGGCTAGTCACCTTGTTAACTATGACGCTATGAAACTAGAGCATCCTGAACTAGCCCTATGCTCCTCCCAGGACTGAAAAAGAAGAAAAAGAAAATAAAATATACATAATATGTGTTTTGAAGAGAATTAATCGAATTTACTTCTTTTAAAAATACTCGTATGTGAGCAGAGAGTAAATTTCATATTATGTGATATTTTTAATATTTGTCAATTTCTTTTTTTCTCAAGAACCAACAGTTTTGTGAGTAAGTAAGACATAAGTGTTTCTAAGCAAATATTGATATAGTCGAAACTGTGTTTAAAATTTAGTATGTACTTCAATTACTTGAGAAAAATTTTTTATGTATACGTAACAAGAACTTATTTGCGACATTTTCCTAATAAAACACAATTGTGACCATATGTAGCGAAATTTGTAGTTATGAAAATCTCTATTGTTCACTCTTGTATTATTCAACTTCGAAATAACTTAAAGTTTCAAAGAAATAGAGTGCTCAGAATTTATGCTTGAGATAACGTTTAAGTTATAGAGACACCTAGTTTTTGTGCTAGAAGAAAACATTTTTTTTTTGATTTTTTATGTTACCCATTGTTCTTGATTTATAAACAATTTGTCAAAAAAAAAACAATTTTAATTTCAAATTTAAATTTGAAATTAATTGTTTTTTATTGTATAATGAATTATTGTACAATAATTGTATACAGAAAATTACGAAATGTCATATATAAGTAAATTTAATTAAACATGTAATTTCAATTTAAATTTTGTTTTTGTTTTTATAAATTTTGTATAAAAAATTATTTACACTTCCAATGATGCTCAGATTAAAAAATTACTAAGAATTATCTCTACAGACCGGTATGTAGCTAATAAAGACCACAAAAGTATATATAATATGTACATATACATATGTATGTCTCATTTTTTTAAAATAAACATTAAAAAAATGAATTATTATTTAAAGTGAATAATTTTTTTTTTAATTCGCTAATTTTATCTGAATATAAAAATTGATTGAAGACAATTTTTATAGACATCAGAGAAGTACAAAAAATTAAATCGAAAATCGAATAAAGAAATCCGAAAAAATTTATGTACATATCTCCCTTTTAAAATTGATTTTAATAAATAGTTTAATTTTGATAAACTCTTTCAAAAATTAAGGAACAATTATGTATGTTTTTATTAGACACTTTACGATATCAAGCTCTTTCAAAAAAGAAAATGGATGCGTCATTTCCATGGCACTTTATATTTGCGAAAATGCACTCTGCATATATATGAATAGAAAAAATTGTTACTAATTTTATTAATTGTGTAGTTTAATCAAAAATATAAATTTTTTAAATCTCACTAACATTTTCTAAAGTTTAATTTGTACTACTTTTATATCCGAAAAGCATATGCATATATGTATACCTATCAGAGTTTTCAGACAGATATACATATGCTTTTTTCTAACCCTATCCTGTTCGCTGTCAATAATTTTAGCTATTTTCAAATTGCTATTGTCTTTTTAGTGTCACAATACGATGCTTCAGCAGAGAATATACTGAAAAAAAACGGCTATAAACCAACGGCTGTATATATGTAAAATGACTATAAACCAAACGCGCTATAATTTTTCAAAAATATGGATAAAATAGAACTAAAAGTGATATAGTTCATAAAATTTTGGAAATAATCTAATTTTGATATATAAATGTTATAATAAAGGTATTATAATAGCTGTTTTCTTTATGTAGCTGAATAAAAATTTTTTTGATGAACACAAGTTTATCGGTATTCAAATAAAAACATTAGCAAATGAGAACACATTTATTTGTTATGAGCCATGGGAATTTTGCTAAACTTGTTGTAATATACCAATACGTACATACATACATATATGTAAACATTTGCAATAAGATAGTTTTCACAGGTTCCTCTAAATATTCTAAATAGTAAATATACATATGTGTATGTACGTATACATATGTCATAAATTTATATCATAATATTTAAAAATGTAAATGAAGTACAGCTACCAGGTAAATATTAATTATCTCAAAAAGGCAATTATAAATATTGCAAAGAGCTACACATATATTACTTTTTACACTGAAAGATATGAATATCATAAAAATATATGTACATAAGTATATTATGTAATTTAATTAATATTAAAATATAAAATAAAGTGTACGCTTTCAGATACACTTTTATATTTCAAAACGACATTAATGTAGCCCATTCAGAAATATTTTTTATTCTAACAAGATAATTTATTTTCATAAACGACTCAATATTATAACTAATTTGAAAATATTATATTTCTAAAATTTTATTTGACTTGTATTCAATATAAAAATAAAGTGGTAGCAAATACATTTAATTCAAAATTATTTATAAAGTGTGGTTGTCGTGATATCGGATATAATTTTTGTCTGTTCTGATTATAAAAAATATCTCAGATAAAATTTTCTAATTAAATTCTCAGTGATGTTTTTGCACAATTTTACGATTGTATAACATTTTTCCTAACTAGGATGTCATATTTTTACTTATAAAGATATGTTTTTTTTTGTATTTCATCTCTGTGTAAAATGCAATTGCAGTACTTATTGTAAAGTGCAATCTAATGATGTCCCAAACGCAAATATTGTTTTTCGGATTTAGCTTTATTATGAAAATGATAGTTTCAATAAAGCAAACCTCTTTTCGTCATTTTGGTAGTTATTTTAATTACATGGAATTTTCACTGCTTGTCGTATTTTATGCAAAGAACACAATTGAATGCTTATATTTGATAGGTCGCTATACACTAGCCCATATATCATTATGTACATACATTTTAACGCAATATTTATAATATATATATGATAATGTACAATGTAGTAATGTTAAAAGAATGCAAAGAAACGGAAATTAACTCTTACACAATGCAAAATAAAAACCGGGTTAAAATTTAAAACATAAAAGTGTCAAAATCAAATTTGTATGAAAGTGAGACCAAAGAAAATTCAAAAATTTTGTCGCTTTGGAAATTCTTTTACATACAAAATTTGCACAGTTATAGAAATTGGTATGAATTTCTGTAAAAAATCATCTTTAATTAAATAATTTTATAAAAGTTTTATAATTATTAAATGTTTCTTATTTCTCTTGCTAAAATCTGAGAAGCTTTAAAATTATAAAATTTTTAAAACTTCTCAGAATTAAAAAAGAAATAATAATAATTTTGTTGGAGTTTATGATTTTCCCATAAGCTTGTTTGGTGTAATCGGCTGCTGTATAAACGCCTCTATTTTTACTGAGTGCAAGCTCTCTTTGGCGTTGTCAGTATTCATACCTTAATTTTTATTACGCTTGATCAAAAAAATATCGACACAATATTATTGATATATATGTATGTATGTATGTATATATAGATTATAGGAATATAAGCACGGAAACTAAACTAAATAAAAATTTCACTATACATTTATACATATGCATATACATATATGTATGATGTATTTGTATGTACATCTTGTTTATGTTGACGGAGATAAAGAAAAAGATAGTACCTATGTATGTATTATAAAAACAAAAAAATTAAAAACAGAAGAC